TTACATTATACAGAGTAATCTGTTAGTCCAAGTGTAGCAGCCACATGGCTTCTGGTGTTGTATTACTGTATTACACTGAGGAAGAGTAGAGGAACTTGAAATACAATGGCTTGCTGCTAGAGCAGGTTTTGTTCTAATTTCCTTTAGATTCTTAACATGTGTAGTGAATCTGTTCTTGTATAATTTGAGGATTGTACTTATATCTAAAATACAGGGAAGATCTTCCTGTATCTAATTTATATATTTTTAAAAGTCCGTGTGAGTATAAAAATTCAAACCCATGTATTTGTAAAGCACCTTCCAGATAAGATAAGTATAATTTTTTTAAAATAGTTTTCAGTCTAAGCTACGTATGAATGAATGTATGTGATCATACAGAGATGAGAATGAGGGATTTAAGAACTGTATAGGAGTGAAAGCTAATTTCTTGAAAGCTACTGATGGGAACACATGGGAATCACTCCTCAGGCTCTGTGTTCAGACATCAGCTGTGTACTCCACAACATCATTATGTACCTCCCTTTGACCATTTTCTAGAAATAGTTTTTGTTGTGTGTGCTTTCTGCTTGTAGAGGTGTTGCACTGCTGTTCATAGCACTATGTCTTTGTGGCTGCTCATGGTGTTTTCTTGCCTGTGCTTTGTCATTCCTTGTTTGCTTGCCTTGTTCTTCAGGCTTGCATTTTTGTCTGCTTAAGCCTTGAATGCTTTCACCGAAATTTGGAGTGTGAGGTAAAGGGGAAATAATTTTTTTCACTTCTTTTTTTCATTGTTTGTGAAAGACAGGAAAATTTCAGGTTCTTCTCTGTGTTAGCTTGTTGGTGCTGCTGTGTCTTAATCACTAGATGAACTTTCCTATGAGAGGTAGAATTATTCTATGCTTCTTTTTCCTGGTGCTCATGCTGGTTTCATTCTGGCAGGCTTGACTTATTGCTGGTTTTATACTAGAATGCTATAGCAAAATGATGCATCAAAAGCATATGAAAGGATGCAAACAAGTTTGAAAATTAAAGTCCAAATCCTAAATAAAAACAATAGAAGTGTTTCCTGTTCCTTGGTTTCCCACGCAGCACTTCTTTGCACTTAACCCCAGAAATGAGTTTGAAACTCTTCTGTTTCATGTACTGTTATATATGTAAAATGTTAAAATTTTTTTTAGATCAATTTCAGCTGGAGCAAACAAGCGCCCACCACCAACTCCTTCCTTCTATATTGCAGGCCCACTCCCCGATGGATGGGAACAAGCTATGACCCAGGATGGAGAAATTTACTACATAAACCATAAGAACAAGACCACATCTTGGCTAGACCCAAGGCTTGACCCACGCTTTGGTAAAAGTTCATCTCAATTCAGAATTCTTGATTTGCTTCAATTCACTCAGCTTTAATTTTCCAGGCATATTTTGAGAACTTTTTATAGTATGATTAAAATACATTTTGATTTATAGAGGCCTTATTTAAAGATTTATTTTTTTTTAAGATAAAAACTATTAGCTTATATCCTTCAGGACTGTATGTTACCCAAGTTTCTAATGCTAGAGTTGGTATTTTGCCATATGATCCATACAGTTCCCCAAAGTGGTGACATTCAGAAATTACTTATTGAGATAGTTTCAGTCAAGCTCACTCATCCCTTTAAATTAGCAACACTTCACCACAGAAGAATCTTGCAATTCCTAAACAAATATTTACTTTCCTTTGTGCTATCTTAAGAGGGCATTGTCAAATAATAGTTCATGCTATTTAAATGCACTTGAAACATATACCAGCTTATAATTCCAGCTTGTCACAGTGATTATCATGACAAAACTTTCTGTTTCAAACAATATGATAAGGAATTATTAGTTTTGTTGTTCCTACTTTAATAACCTTTCTGTGGGGTAAAAACTATGTAATATTGGAAATAGAAATAGTAACCTACTTATCACTAGATGGAGAAGAAGCCTAAAGTCTAGTTGGAGAAATTCAACCAAACAGAACATCTATGTGATTTTTTCAGTAATGTTTTCGATCTATATAAAGAGCAGAACTGCAAAATTTTCAATAAAATACCGGCACAGATGACTATGAATAGAAATCACATATAATGTGAAGACGTTAAATTACTTTCTTAGATTGTCCAAGTGATGTATTTAGTATGGTATTACAATTTCTGTTTTTTTCTAAAGCCATGACCTGTGTGTGTCAGCCTTATTAGCTTGCCCTTGATTTGTTTTCCCAAAAACTTACTATTTTCAACTCCTTTGGATTTTAGTTATTTTTCCAGAGCCATGGAAAAACAGTAGGACTAAAAA